AAGACTCGATCGGACTTGTCATGGTCTGACCAGTAACTGCCTCTGCTGCCACTGCCCCATCCCGTGAGCCTTTATGCCGCTACTCTCCTGGCCACCGCGGGCTGGTCTCATTCTCTTCGTGGCCCACGACATGCTTCATCCTAATAAAAGCTTGTATCTGCCAGGATAGGCTCAGCTATGCTGCAGTAACACACAACCTCCAGATCTCAGTGGCTCTGATCACAAAGGGCGATTTCTCACTCACTGTGCCATGTTGTCGGTGGGGAGAGGGGCTCTGTCCATCACAGTCATAGCCACCCTCTGGAATATCGCAGGTTGCTGTCCTACAGGAAAAGAAAGAGATTCTCAGAGGCTTGTCATGGCAATGGAATGTTAGGCTCAGAAGAAACACCTGTCATTTCTGCACATTCTTTGTCCAGCCACTGGCTCTCTCAACCACAAGGAACTCCAACGTGTAATCTTACCACGTGGCTGGGAGTGGAAGGGGTCGGCCACTTATGATAAACAGCACTAATGATGACCATGATGTCTGATGTTTCTGTGTGTGTGGCATCGATAAAATGCCTTGGAGTGTCTTCCAACCCAGGGGATTGCCAACTGTGGCAGGTCAGCCCGGTGGGGTTAGGGTACAGAAGGTGGGTGGAGAATGAGGACTGTGGGGGAGGGTTGGTTACCGCAGCTCAAGCTCAGGGAGAAAGAGGAACAAGGCTGAGTTTGGCTGCTCACTGGACCAGTCCAGTTGCATGGAAGCAAACGCGGTGGCCATTGGTCAGGTCCTTCAGGCCAAGGGCGCCTGGTACTTAGCTTCTGATGTCTGCGATTCTTCCATGAGAGATTCATTCCTTTGCTGCTAAATGCCGTTTTCCAAGTTGTGTCTCACAGAACTCTTCTATTAGAGGCTAACAGGTGCTCCTTGGTCAAGCAGAATATGAGAGGCGAGGCTGAACAAAATCCAACTGGCGCTTCCTCTGCAGCCTTCCCAGGGCCTTGTCTAAAATGCTACTGTGTGTTCTCTCCCTGCGAGGGGACCCGTGTGTGCATTTCCTCAATTCCTCCCTGTGGTCAACTAGGTGGCTTGGAAAATGCTGGTCTGGAGGCCTGTTCAGTCCTAGTGAGTCCCTGTGGAAAGTAGGTGTCCCGGGAGCGGGGGAAGGAAAGCAGTGCGGGCAGGGCCTTGACGGAGTGGGACTCGAGACAGTGGTCTGGGAGGCGCAGGTCCAAAAGGGAGAGGAGGCCTGACACTTTCCCTGCCTCGATACCTTGTCCTGCCCCCAGACACAGCTGGATTTCTTGTCTGGACTCAAACCTCCCATAACAGACTGAATCTTACTACTGCCCTCATCACATGTATTTTAACGACTATGTCTGTCCCTCTAATCTGGGAGCCCCTCAGATTAGGGCTTTATCTCTATATCTTCCTGTGGCAGGAGATAGATGCCCAATAATTAGTTGAATGAATGAGGCGCAGGCATGGAGCAGGAGGTGGGTTAAAATCCCCCACATACACCATGTTAAAGGATTTCCCAAATTGAAATAATCTACTCCGCCCATTGAAACACCTCATCGTTGTTAGTCACCTGCTGGTTCTCGGGTTTCCTGGAGCCTGCGGCCTCTTCACTCAGCATATCCCTCTCTCGGACCTGTCTCTCCCTCCTCGACATCTCCTGCCAGGCTGCTGGGCCACCTGGGCCACCGGTCCTCCCCTCTCCCGGGACAGTGAATGGGTTTGGATTGTGAATGGCCTGCCTGAGGCTGTTTCCCTAAGTAGGAAGTACATGCATGTGTCTCCAGATGACAATCTGGAAGGGTGGGGAGGTGTTTGTTGTTTTTAAGAGGAGGTTGGCTTTAATGAAGGCATGAGAAAGGGAAAACTAGAAGGAAACTGCGAGCAGAGACACAGAAAGTTTACCAGCAGCGCTAAGACTTCTGTGTGTCCTTTCTTTTCTTTTCTTTTAAAAATATTTTTATTGCTTTCAGAGAGGAAGGGAGAGGGAGAGAGAGATAGAAACATCAACAATGAGAGAGAATCATTGATCGGCTGCCTCCTGCACGCCCCACACTGGGCCCTCTGGTCTTTTTGGGTCGCACTGTTCTTTCCACCTGGAATGCGTCCCTCATCCCAGCTGCACCCTTTGCCCCGTCCACCTGACAGATGCCTGCTCGGACTCAAGGCCCAGCTCGAATGTCACTGTCTCTTGCCAGATTTAGCAAATTAAAACACAGGATGCCCAGCTGAATTTCAGATAAACAATGAGTAATCATTTTAGCCTAAGTCTGTCCCAAATATCTCATGTCCCAGAGCTTGCACGAGACAGAGTTAGAGGAAGGCATGGTGCGATTTATCTGCGATTCCAATGATCTGGCTCCCCTACTCGCTGTCCCTGACTCCTTTTCCGCTCAGGTTTTCTGCCCACCTGCTGCTCCCGGAGGCGTTCCAGCACTTCCCATGCACCTGTCACCACACTCCCTGCACCCGTCTGTGTCCTCGTCCCCTCACCTGCCATGGGCGGGATGTGGCAATGCGTAGCTGTCACACATGAGTAAATGGTGCTTTCCCTTGATTTCCTCCGATCCAGTTACTCTCAGGGATGACGTGGCGGCATCATCGCAGCGGGTTTATTTTCATTCAGGATGTTTGTGATGAGACGGGGGAGTTAACTCTTGCATGGAATCACAGCAACACTTCTGTTAACAGACACGTGTCCCAAGCAGCCACTCTGGGCTCAGACATGTCATTACCTGGTGGACAAAGGCCTGAGCCCGAGCCCAGCCCGTGGCCGACACCTCCACCCTCCTTGCCGTTGTCCTGAGAATTGGACAGTGTGGGCTCTCGGGCTCCCTCCCCCTGCCAGTCTGGGGTCAAACAGCAAATCAACAGTGGCCCAAGCAGGAGCCTGCGGTGAGGGGGAGGGCTTTCTGTTTTGGGGACATAGGCTGAGGAGCCTGAGGCTGTTTCCCTTTACCTTAGGAGTGGATTGATTCTTTGAGAAGTTCTTTTAAACCTTTGCTTGGCTCAGCGCCGGCTACACTGGAGAAGGCCGGCTTGAGATGAGCTCATGGGCGCGAGCCACCTGAGACTGACAGCCCCAGTGTCCGGGCTCCAGGTTCAGTGCTCCGAAGCGATTCCCAGTAGCAGGGGGTTGAGAGCTGAGGCCCAGGGAAGGCACTCCTGCTGGGGACCCTGTGAGGGGCCCATTCCTCGGGCTGCAGACCAGTCAAAGCGCCTGCAGCTCAAAACCTGGAGCCTGGCCAGGGTCTCCAGGACGCGGGGCCCAAGTCCCCTTCTGCTTGCTAGGAATGTCCCGCTTGCACCACATCCTCCCCTCCCGGAGCAATTCATCCTCCAGTCTCCCTGTGGAATTGAAATTTCCCAAGTTGACTGCTGGTTAATCATGCTGAGCAAGAAACCACAGTGCCCCAGTGTCCTGGGGGTGGTGGCTTTTCCGTTGGAGCTGCCCAGTAGTGTCACCTCTTTTTAAAAATATACATATTTTTATTAATTTCAGAGAGGAAGGGAGAGGGAGAGAGATAGAAACCTCAATGATGAGAGAGAATCATTGTTCGGCTGCCTCCTGCACACCCTAACTGGGGATTGAGCCCGCAACCTTGGCATATCTGGATGATGCTCTAACCAACTGAGCTACCTGGCCAGGGCCTACACTTCTCTTTTTAACTAAAAAACAAAACAAACAACAACAACTGTTTGATCTTATTGAACTCAATGTTTTCTAAACTTATTTGATCAGGGAACCACCCTCCATCCTCCTTTTTCTGCAGGGGCACCCTACTTAGTCTGTCATCCTGGGAGCACACTTGGGGGGAGTGGAAGTAAGCAAGTGCTTTACAATCTTTGCATTCCCTCTGCAAGTCACTAACTTCATTCCAGAATTTGGCGAGAGAGCCTGGCAGGCCTTTACAGTCGGGGAGTCGGGGAGCGGTGGGGAGGGAAGGTGGCTCAGGCAAGCCCTGCTCTGTGCTGGGAGCCTGGGCTGGCGGCCACTCAGAGAGAGTTAAGAGCACCCGGTTTTGTTTGGGATTGAAAACACCAGCCAAGGCCACCTTTTAACAGTCACAAGGCCGCCTGGGCCATCCACGGGGCATGCCATCTGAGGAGCAGGCGTGCTCTCCTCCCCAAACCTGGGCCTCAGCATTTCCTCTTTTCAGCACGTTTTTCTTGCCCCCAGAACACACTAAGCTCAGCGTCCCCATTTGCACGATTCCGGGGGTGCTGCTGCCTTGCACAGAGAACTGGTGTGAGCGGCGTCACTCAAGTTTATGCAAGGCGGTGGCTCTGTCCCAGGGTTTGCCCTGCAGGGTTGGCCAGGATGCTCATTGTTGGCATGATCTACTCCTCAAGTACCGCCTCAGTGTCACCTCTAAAGCAGGTGCCGTGTTATCTATAATAATAAAAGGGTAATATGCTAATTAGACCAGACGTCTTCCAGACGTCATTCCGGACATTTTTCCTGATGAAGCCAGGGCCAGAGGGAAGCCAGCCCAGGTCCCGGGTGCCTGCGGGTGGCTGGAGGAGGGAAGCCCGGGTCCCAGGGGCCAGACGGAAGCCGGTGCCGGCAGCTGGGGGAAGGAAGGCCTACTCTTGCACGAATTTTCATGCATCGGGCCTCTTTCTACTATAATATCCTAACTGGATTCCTCATGGCATTTATCACCACCTGGATCGCTACATATTCTTACTTTTTTGCATATTGTCCTTCTCCACTCAAATAAAACATCAACTCCACAAGGCCGCGGCTTATGTTTTGGCCACTTTGGGAGGGCTGGTGCCTTGAACAGTGCCTGGCACAGTGTAGACACCCACTAACTTCCAGTTGAGTGAACAAAGGATGTTTTTTCCTACTTGGGTGGTGATTGGCTGTGGAGAGTTGATAGGCAAGGCCATGAACCAACCAGTGGTGGTGAAGGGGACAGAGTGCTTGTGGCCGGCTGCCTGGCCCAGCCGTGGTTCCAGGCACGTGAGGAAGTACAGAAGTACAGAGAGCAATAGAAATGAGTTTTTATTTGTAAAAAGTTACAAAATGATATTGTACAAAAATAAAGTTTGTAGAGAACTTTGGTTGAATAACACAAACGACCGAGACAGATCAGAGAAGTCAGAACTTCCAAAGAAGGGCCCTCCTTACTGGACTAGGTGGTGACCGCAACGACAGAGAAAAATCACAGACTTTACCCTTTTGTGTATTTAGGGGAGGATTCGCTTCCGTGAAAACTGGCTATGGTGTGTAGGCGATGCTTACGGTGTGTGGTAAGACACCCACGGAGTCCGACAGCCCCTCTGGGCAGGGACTCTCCACGGGGAGAGGGGGCTGACTGAGTGGACCCCTGGGACACCAGCCACCAAGCCTGCCAGGACTCTGAATGGGACAGATGCCCCTGGGTGGGGCGACATCTAAGTGCTTCCTGAATGACCAAGGGCTGGCTGGGTCAGCCTCTCCCCTCGCTCCACTCCTCGCAGGGTCCCCACTCTGGCCCCAGGGGAGGTTTGGGGAGAGGAAGTGCTTTCCCTCCATTTCCAAGTCCTGCAAGGGAAGCAGAGGGACGGAGAGGGGCAGAAGGATGGCGAGCTTGGGTGTTTGGGGTTAGGGGGGAGGGATGTCTGGTAACTGCTGCCTCCTGGTTACTTTGTGAAATTAATATGATTTGAGGGAGGCCAGTGGGGCTTTTAATTGCTAAGCCTGCCAGACTTGGGGGCTAATGGCCAAGGTAGTGACAGATGACCTCCTTGGTAAAAATCTCTTCCATGAATGTGTCCCACGCTCTGGGGTAGGGCCCAGTGCACTGCGCAGGCATCAGTTGCCAGGTAAACGCACGGTCTGGGGGGTCTGGGCACTAGGAGGTCGCTGTTCCCATCCCACCTGTCTCCCCTCCATGGCATTCATCGGAAAGGTGGCACACTCGGGGAGCGCGTCCACCCTTCTGGGCCACCTTCTTCCACGGGAGGGGGCGGTGTACAGGGACAGCCACTGTCACCTGAGAGGACATCCAAGGGGCTTTGATGGCGACCCGCAGACCCCCGTTCTGGAAGGCCAGCAGTGTGCTCCTCAGCCGCGCTGGGCACCTGCACGCTCTCAGAACAGTGGGAAGGATGGAGGAAGAGTTTCCGTTCAGAGTGGAACCCTGGCAGGATTTTACTTTTAGGTCAACGTTGGAGCCAGAACTGCCCACTAAAAGGGACTTAACCTTTCATATATAGGGTTATGCATGTCATAGGTAGGTATATGTGGGGGGGGAATAAGAGCTTAAATCCATGCAGCACATGGCATTCTGCTCAGAGCTGGAGCAACAAAGACATAAAACCAAGTGCCAAGGGTCTCTGCACGCGCCTCTCCGGGAGCCTGCCAGACATGCTCCTTCGGACACATTTCTTTTGTAAAAGAAAAAAAAAAAGGGAAAGAAAAGAAAGAAAGAAAAACAGGGAAGATGCTGAAATCTGGGGAAGTGAATGAGGGCTTTTCTTAAAAAGGTAAAGTAAGTGATTTTTGCCTAGCGACAAATGTGTTAATACTTTGAAAAGCATGGACCCTTTGTTCCCAATTAAACTTTTCTTTGTCACCCTTCTTTGCATTTTGCGAGCACATATACTTTGGCACCTTTGAAAAGAAACTTTAATAAATAAGGGACGAAAGAGAAACTCATTAGTGAACGGTAATAAATAACAATAACTTAAATCTCAATAAATATCTTCTATTTCCGTATCTGAAACAGATGCATTGCATCGAGTAGCTTCTCTGGTCACTGGTGACCACGCACAGCCGGAGCTGGGGTGTATGTAACGCGTCTCTCTGTAAACCGACAGCCGCCGGGTCTCCCTGCCCCTGGGAGGCGGGGGCCTCCCCGCTCGCTCTCCTGCAAGAATGCTGCCGAGAACCGCAACCGGTTTCCTGTTTCCAAGGCCTTAAAGGAAACACTTTCAGGTTGGTTTTTAGTCTTGAGGACAGCCTTTTTGGTTCCTAGCCAACTTCTTCCCACCCCACACACCAAGTTCAAAATGAATCACCAGCCAGCCGTTCCCTACACGCTGGTGGTAGTAAACCTCAGGCCTCAACTTTCAGATGCAAAGGTTACTGTCTCTGTGTCTTTGCTTCCCCGCCACCCCCCTCCTTTCCGGGGTATGTCTCCACTGAGTGACAGAAAAATAAACCTTCCTTGCTTTCAGCAGTAAAACGTAATGACAAGGAATGACACCAGGATTCCGTTTCCCCGGTGTCTCCAGATGTGTGAAAACAAACCACAGGAGACACACTGGTTTAGTTTCAAGTGCATCCGCAACTGTGCCCGTGACTGGTGGACTGGTGGGCTGGTGCCGGCGGGCTGCATCAGATGAAACCATGGCAACCCCTCCCCCAGGGACACCAGCCCTGGGCTTCTGGTGGCATCGGCTGTTGTCCGGGAGAATCCAGACGCTGTTTCCTCTCTCCTGTCCAGGTCTGTGTAGCTGGATCTCTCTGTCCCAGGCTCCCACATGGCTCTCCTCCTCCTCCTCCTCCTCCTCCTCCTCCTCCAGCTTGGTCCTCATCTTCCATTCCGGGCAAACATTTCCTGGGAACCTTGGTCCCTTTCTTTGCACCGCAGCAGGAATGCAATACACAGCGGTCTCTGGAGCCGGAGTCAGATACATCCACACCTTTTCGCGGAATGCTTCCTTAGAATATGGTAAACCAGGTTATCATCTAGAAACGACAGGTCGTCGTCGAAGGCGATGGGCCTGCAGCAGGCCTGCCCTACCTTGTCACTCACCAGCCTCCTGCTTCTGGACAAGTTCTTTAATATTTTGTCGTACATCGTCTCGGCGGCCTCACAGGAGCCGCTGCAGTACCGGAAGATCAGTTCCTCCTTGGTTTCGTAGCCCAGACCCAAGTCCGTGACATTCAGGTGGATGGAGGTTAGGACGCAACCCCGGTTTTTGCCCCTCGGGCCCCGCCGGCCCTTCCCTCTGGGGTTCTCTGGGTGGGCGGCGGCGGCCTGCCGATTACGCTCCCTTCTAGGCAGCACGGCCATTTGTTTGTCCGGGGACCTTTTCAGTCTTTTAATGGTGGCCTGAATAAAATCCATGACGTCGTCAAACTGGTCGGGATAATCCTCTGGCATATTGGCTGTTCAACGAGAAAAGAGAAAAGAGAAAACGTGAGACAACGACAATGATCATTGCCAGCCGTCTTCTAGGCCAAAGTGCCACCTAAACTCCGCCAGGACGGGACGCACAGCAAAGCCAGCAGCCCAGCCAGCGAAGTGACCCCTGTTCCCCCCGGAACAGAGCTGACGGGCACCCGCCAACACTCCGAAGGAGGAAACAGTTCTGTTGAGAGAGACTGAGCCGTGGGTGACACACTTCCTTGTAGAAAACATCCTTAGAGGCATGGTTTTCATTGGAAGAACATGTCCATTTTCAACATGTTGCTGTGAGCAGGCTGGTCCTCAGAGCCGGTTTTCTTGACTGAAAACATAGCCTAGAGTAGTGGATCGCCCACACTGAGAATGAGCCCAAAACGCTCACCCGAAAGGCAGATTCCTACCCTTAGGGGTGGGTGTGGGAGGGGGCCAGGAGTCTGCAGCTTTTCCAAGCCCTGGGGGGATTCTGATGTAGGCGATCCATGGAAATCCTGAACAAAGGATTTTTTGGATGGGAGGTCTCCCAACATGGCTACTACCCAGTGCTCCTCCCTGAAATCTCCCCGACTTAACACCTCTGCGCGGTGGAGGGGCCAGAGTCTTTCTGATGGGACAAATGAAAAGCTCCTGAAGGCAAGTCTATTTTAAAACTTCCTGAAAAAAACACTAAGAGATTGCAGAACAGATTACTTTTCACTAAGAGGCTAATTTACCACTTTCTTGCAGCAGCATGAGATTAAAAAAAAAATATGGTAATTCTGCAAGATGACAATGAACTGTGTTGGCCGTAAGTAGAAGGAGAGGCGGTGTGTGCACAGGTGGAGTGTGACCCCCAGGTGGGTCCAGCCGCTGCTGCAGGCTGTCACGTGACTCCCACTGTCTTTGGTTAAAACAGGACAAGGCCTGTGCGCCTTAGGGACGTCCATCGCATGGAGGAATGAGGGGTCCCTGCTACAATGTCTGAGACCTTTGGGTAGAAGCAGGAATTCGCTCTCTCTTGGTGTTTTCTGCTGTGTTTCGGCATTTGCTTTCCCTAGTCAAGTGAGAGAGGATGAACCATTTAAACAACTTAATACATTTCTGAAAGAGGAGAGTAATTTGAAAGCCCGTTTACTAGGTACCAGACCTTTTGTGCTCCCCTCATCTCATTTTCAGGCGATTTAGTCTGTTTAGGGTTATACGTGCCTTAACGAAATATACCACAAAGGAGTTGTTAGCAAGAGCGAATGTTTTTTCCAAGACTGTGTTAGAGCAGGGAAGGATTACACTGTGCCTACCTACGTCCAATTGTTCTGTCATGAACTGATTGTTAAGACAGGTATCGGGTATCCTATTGTGTAAAACAAAATCCAGCTGACATGACTTAACCACAGCCATTTATCTAGCTATCCATATGTCTATCCATCTGTCTGTCTGTCTATCCATCTGTCTATCTATCCATCTATAGACTATATATATACATTATATTACATATGAACTATAGTAATGAACAGAGTGGGATCGTGTGACATCCCCAGAGCACCTCGGTGCCCGATGTCTAAAATTTGGCACGGGACGGTTCTGCTGCCCAGAAGTCCCGAAGCTACTCCGCCCTGGCCTATGCCCCATCTCATCTCCTGCCAGGATGACTCCCTCATCCCAACCTTACCCTCCTCCCATCCATTTTCCACCCGTAGCCAGAGCAGCACCCTTAAAACTGTCCATGCTGCTCAACCCCTGCTCTGCTCCACACCCTCCAATGGCTCCCCATTTCTCTTGGGGGGAAAAGCCAAAGTCCACAAGGGCCTGAGGTCCTACCTAACCCAGCACTGCCTCCCCCCCAGCCCTTGCTCCCTCCGACCTCACCTTCTCCTCCCAGCCTCCCTCCAGCATCCCTGGCCTCCTCACTGTCCCTTGAACACAGGGTTTCTCAGCCTCAGTACTACTGGCATTTTGGGCCAAATCATTCATTCTTGGCTGTTGGGGGCTGTCCGGTGCATAGTAGGATATTTAACTGCATCTCTGGTCTCTATCCACTAGATGCCAGTAGCATGCCCCCCTCCCCCCCTTCAGTGTCAGACAAAAGTGCCTCCAGACACGGCCAAATGTCTCCTGGTGACAAAATCGTGTGGGTTGAGAACCATAAACCAGACACGAGCAGAGCTTGGGCTGTTTTCTCTCTGCCTGTTCCTCAGAGCACCTGTGGCTCCCTTCCCACGTCCCCTTCAACTCCTTTATCAAATGGCCCCCCACCAAGTCCCACCCTGACCTCCTATTTAGAACGCAATCTCCCCCAAGCCCCGATCCAGACCCTCCTAACCCCACTGCTCGCCATCACCCGGGACGACTCACCCCATGTCTGTTCTGACAGATGCGAACCCCAGCAGGCAGGGGCCTCTGCTTGCTGGCTCACCAATGGGCCCCGAGGCCTGAAACAGCATCTGGTCCCTGGAGGCCCTCAATACTTTGGGAGTGAACTCGTTCACATGAAGAGGGACAGAAAGAGCCCATCTTTCCAGGGGGCACTCGGGCTTCTGCTGCGAACCACACCGCCATGAAATGAAAGGCTCCAACACCAACAGCCCGCCTCACAGGCATTTTCCACCTGAGAGCCAAGCTGAATAACCATCTCCAAGCGGACCTCTCCGCTGGAGGCCCTCAATACTTTGGGAGTGAACTCGTTCACATGAAGAGGGACAGAAAGAGCCCATCTTTCCAGGGGGCACTCGGGCTTCTGCTGCGAACCACACCGCCATGAAATGAAAGGCTCCAACACCAACAGCCCGCCTCACAGGCATTTTCCACCTGAGAGCCAAGCTGAATAACCATCTCCAAGCGGACCTCTCCGCCCGCCCCCGCCCCCGCCCCCCAGGCCAGCCTCCTGCAGCTTTCCAGCCTTAGGGCTCATGCCCACCTCATCCTGAGTTCAGAGTTCAGCAAGGACTCCCGCCCCGAGTTCCGAGTTCCGGTTTCCCCAGCAGGACTGAGGAGGGAGAGGGTGCTGGGCTGGCCACTTCCTCGGACACTTTCTAACTGCACTTCCATAGAAGCTTTCTTATTTCTTAAAACAAAACTTTGAATCTCTCTAATTTAGAGAAATGAACGACTTATTTTGAAAAATGAGCTGCTTATGCTGTTTATGATTTTTTTTTTTAGTTATAAGCTATAAAAGGGGAAATTAGGTGTGCTCAGTTTCAGGCATCTGTGCTTGAACTTCTAAAACTGCTGTATTCGGGGCGATTAATCAAGAAAAGTCTTCCAATTGCAAAACAGACTCTTTGTTGAATTCCCGAATAGATCATTAACTTAAAAACCTGGGAACACAGGAAGTTAAAATCGGTTCAGAATCAACTGAAGATTAATTATAAATGAGGATGAAACATTACTAAAATTCTAACATAAACTAATGGGGAAACATTGGATTTACTAAAGTTCAACCTACACTGGTTTAGAGACTCATTACTTTATATAACATGATAAATTACAATTTTATGTGACTAGGGTTATAATAATGATTTGAATCAGCATTTATAATGTTCTTATTTATTACCAGATACTTTCAAAGTTCCTGACAAACATGTTCCCTCCTTTTTAAGACATTTTGACCGCATGCCTTCTTCCATCGGCTTTGCTCGCCAGACAAAACACAGAACACTTAGTTAAACGTGAGTTTCAGATAAATAGGGGATAGATTTTTAGTATAAGCATTCTTCCATAATGTTTGGGACATACTTATACTTCATTATGAGGCTGTTTAGTCCTTTTATCTTTTAAAAAATATGTTTTTATTGATTTTAGAGAGAGAGGAAGGGAGAGGGAGAGAGATAAACAACAATCAGCCGCCTCCTGCATGCCCCCCAACTGGAGATTAAGCCCGAAACTGGGCATGTGCCCTGCCTGGGGACAAATCAGTGACCGCTAGGTGCATGGCCAACACTCAACCCACTGAGCTGCCCTGGCCAGGGCCCTTTTCCCTATTTCAAGTGCCACTTGGCCTTTTGGGGATGATGCAAGTGGCAGGGTAAATGCACCAACCATGTAGGCTTTTGGGTGAGGGGTACCCTGAATTCAAAGGCCTCCTGGCACTGGGAAGCAGATGAGAAATGTTCGATGTGTTCAACCGAGGGGTGTAGTTAATAAAACCTTCTCCTTTCTGTGGGAAAACCTCCCTCATACTTGTTGTCATTGTGGAAATATTTATTTAAGTCCCAAGTTCAGGCCATAGGTGACTCTTATTGAGCTGAAGAGTTCTCCTCCTCCCCTTTCTTCTTATTGAAAAATAGAGCAAAAAAAATAAATAAATATTTATGCTGAAAGTTTTATAAGGATATATATTTTGGAAACCAGAAAAGGGCAACATTATATTTTCTAAACCACAGAGCAAATAATCCTGTCCCTTCCACTAAATTCCCAATTCCGGGCCCTGTGATGCTGACTGAGTTCATTCATAGAGCGGCCTCAGCGCTAGGTATCTGGGGGTGCCAGGAGCCATGCACCTCACTGAGCCTGTCCTCGAACATCCTGCTGAGGCCTTAAACCTGGTCCGGGCAGGCGAATGCCGGAAGCCCAAAGCTGCCTCAGTGTTCCAGGAATTCACCCAGCCGAGGGGAAGAAAGGCACTGGGGTTTGGATTGGTTCCCTACATTAAGACTTAATGTCATATCATTTTGTTCTTTATGCTATAAAGGGCTTGGCAGACTGTCAGCTACACAAATGGCCCTCATTAGTATTAACTTTGATAGTAAAATACCTGCAAACCACAAAAGAGGACAATTTAAAAAAAAAAAAACAACCCACAAAAAACAACAAAACACTTGCTCACTTCCCAGACCAACTTGGGGGAGAGATCTTGGTTGGAAAACAAGTCCATCTAAAATCTCAAGTTTTTGCCCTGGCTGGTTTGGCTCAGTGGATAGAGCGTCAGCCTGTGGACTGAAGGGTCCCAAGTTCGATTCCGGTCAAGGGCACATGCCCGGGTTATGGGCTTGATCCCCAGTGAGGGCCGTGCAGGAGGCAGCCAATCAATGATCCTCTCTCATCATTGATGTTTCTATCTCTCCCTCTCCCTCTCTGAAATCAATAAAAAATATTTAAAATAAATAAAAGCTCAAGTTGCTGAAAAATCAAAATACCCAAATGCATTTAAGTCATTTTTCAGTTTGCAACCGAATATCCTGGCATCGTCCTGTTTAAAATATTTCCACGTGGATGTGCCCTTTGTATACACAGTTATTTAAACACCCGGGACCTTGTGCGGGGGGCACGACTCCCAGAAGAA